GAGTTTCTACCTGAGGATACACGACAATCTCGCGGTCGCTCTTGGCAGTCTCGTGCAGCAGATGCCATCAGGAATTTACGTCCTGGTCGCAGGGCCGCTGTGGCAAGACAGACAGCGTCAGAGCCCCCAGGGTCCAGAACGTTCCTCATTTATGTCATTGGTGGTGAGTTCACCCTTTTTGCCCTGTTTTCAAATATGGACAGTTATTTCAGGCTACTACCCACCCGATCACCAAATTATCACAGGCGGAACTTGGATTCGTTCGAGGCATTGTGGTGCGTACGCGATGGAGGTGTGGTGTCGTGCCATGCTCACTTTCATGCAGGGAACTGGCCGAGCTACTTGGTCAAGTGAAACCACCCACTGCTTCGAAGGAGGAGATTGACAAGTCTGGGCTCGAAGTTATCAAGGCAAATTCACTTGAGGAGTATGCAAAGGACGGACGTGTCGCTACTAACTGCGTCGACCGGGTATGGAATCACGCCTTTACCATATTCTTCAAGCTTGCTTACCTTGCATATAGTGTCTCATATGTCTTGATGATTATGTGCCGGACGATGACCTACGTGTCTTAAGCTGTAAACACGCATTCCACCAAGGCTGTGTAGATAAGTGGCTCCAGACAGGAAGGAATAACTGTCCTGCCTGTCGCACGAAGGTACGTTCATTTAGCAACAAGCAGCCAGTTTTTCACAAGTTATTTCAGGGCGTCGACAATGAGACTAGCCCCTCCACTGAAGCATCCGCTTCGAATTCAACCTTGACACCCCAGCCAGCAGCCGCATGATGGCTCGCATCCTTGATTAAGTAGTATTTTCCCTTGCATCATCTTTTCCCTCATCTCGATTGTAACAAACCTCCGCATCCAATCTGTCTTGCGATTCGTGTAGCAATTCCATCTCTCATCGCTGTTCTTTCTTCAGCTTATTATAATGCTACTGAGTATCGTCGTCCACACAATTTATCCAAATAGCCTGCTGCCACTTGTACTGTACGGCACATAGAAAAGGTCATTTATCACTGAAAAGGTCATAGTGTCCTGTGTGCTATCCTCAGTACTTAGCATAAAGCTAGGCGAGTGTGGGACACGAAGGTTTGTGCTATGCACGCTTTCCAGTAACACCAGCCTCTTTGAGTCTGGCGAGAAGCTCGTCCACGCTTGCCACCTGGACGTCATTATAAGTACTGGAACATGCTATGACGAAATGGAGGATCACCTTGCCACCACCAACGCGCTTTGGAGGTTCTGTGACTTTTATGGTCTCTAGTCTAGGCGTGAGGTCCACTCCAATTCCGCAGCCGTCAACTTCTCCACAGGTTTCTTCTTGGCTTTCATGATATTGGGCAACGAGGCATACCGGGGTTCTTGGAATAGGCATAAATTAACTGAGTGATAAAATATTGTGAATAAAACACACCATTGAGCCTGGATTCAAGAGCGCCCGTCAGTCACTGAGACACTCGTGGATACATGCAAATGGACTTGCCGAAGATCTGTTGTTATGATGACAGGAAACTTGCACCTGAGCTCCTCAAGACCTCCATCGATCTCACGAGTGATGTTCGCAATCTTCTGCTCTGGGTCTACCTCGACCTTGCTCGCAAATGTTGCCTGTGACCATCCCATGAGTCCAGCGAGCATTTGACCAGTTTGTCCGGCGTCATCATCAATAGCTTGCTTGCCCAAAATCACTACGTCCACACCCTCCTTCTGTCGTTCGATGAGGGCCTTCAAGGTCTTCGCGACACCAAGAGGTTCTGGGGCCGGAGCAGATTCTGGGATTTCGACGTGGATGGCAGAGTCAGCACCCATAGCGAGTGCGGTGCGGAGCGTCTCTGCGGACTTTGGTGGACCGATGGTGACAACCTTGATAGATTTCACTGCATCCTTTAGGCGTTCTCGTATCCGAATGGCTTCCTCCACAGCTATAACACGGTCAGATAACTGTGCCCACGGAATACTGACGGAAAACGTACCAATCTCATCAAAGGGGTTCTGTAATTACTCATGTGAGCCAAACTGGTTTATGAATTGTGGACTTTGCCATACCATGGAATGTTTAACATTGAGGTCGATGCCTGTCTGCTCGGGATTCACGCGGATCTTCACGGCATAGTCTACCGCCCTTCCAAGTGCATCTTCAGAGCTGGAAGGATAGAGTTGTAATTCATGCGCACCTCTTTATAGGGACTAATATATTGAGCAACCGCACAGCAGAAGGCCTCATCCTCAATCTATACTCGATGCTCACTGAAAAGTCAAAGAAATCAGGTTGATGATATGTCGGAGTTCGGATTCGGAAATGAAGACGACTAATTTTTACGTGTTTAGCTCTTGTGTTCGAGCCAGCCGGGCAGAATCAGCATCACTACAAATTCAATAATACTGGTGTGTGACTGCCACATCTTGGTCGGTCCATCTGCAATTAATTCCTATAGCCTTTCATATGCACCATTACAAGTATCCTGGCCAATATTCTCATCCACACTCTAAGCCGTAATGACCGTTGCTGACTCACACTGGAATCCGACTAGGGCCGAAGTCGTTTCAAGCTCTTCCTAGCCAGACATTTATAGACGAAGGAATACACTCGCGACTCGTTCCGACTGATAAATCTCCCTCTCGGAGCATATTACAAAGGTCATAATATGTTCGTGAGACTGGTGCACACTTAGTAAGTTGATAACAGAATGTATGGACAGATAACAGGATTGACTCCATGATGACTTGGATGGTTTGCTCTTCCTATTATTAGTTCGACTTCACCTCCTATTAGCCGGGCACCCGATATTCCGTGGCAAGCAGACATTCTGGACGATTACGATCCTGAATGTAACTCTCGGTAACTTAAGTTGGTCGTTCAGGGGCCTTCCTCGCAGTGGCTGTCTGATAGCCGGAACGAAGCCAAAGTTCTATAGGCATGTCACTCGATCGGCTATGTTGTCCGACGCACGTCACTATAGGTGAGGATATTTTGATCATCGGCACCAGCAAAACCATGTGCGCTTTCGTCACCCGCTTCATTGCTGAACCATCTATAAAATATGCACTCTCATACAATCTCAAGCTTTAGCTCCCGCATCTGACAACATTTTACGCCCATGGCAGAAAGTCAGAGTACGACTTTGTCGCCTACGGAGGTCCAGAGTGTGGAATTCCAGGGTACAGACGCCCAAACACATGTTTCCAGTGCAGAATCGTCAAAAGAACCTATCAAGCTTGATATAGAACATGCCCTGGTTGAAGATGATCCTCGAATATGGTCGAACGCGAAGAAGGCGCGTCCTTTCATCTTGATTTTGTAACTGGAGGCTGATAAAACATATCTATCATACAGAACGTTGTATTGTTCATCATATCTGGAGCATCGATGATCGCGGGTTTGTGCGCGAATATACAAAACCGTGAATTGTTTCCTTAATGTCATCGCAATATCGGCTGAACAGCCAGGGGATAGCTGCTAATGCTCAGATTGAGCAGCAGCTACACACCACCAGCGGAGATATCAGCCTGAGTTTGTCTCTTTTCATTCTCATTCAAGGCAATTTCCCTGTCATTTGGAGCGCAATTAGCGAGATTAAGGGCCGCAAGGTTTGGATTTCTGTGTCTTGAGGGTTTTATTTATTAATATCGCCGAGCTCAGATGGTGTACCTTCTCTCCGTAGCACTGTTTACACTTGGATCTGCAATCGTGGCAGTATCCAGGACCATAGGTTTGGTGATCGGTATGCGTATTCTGCAAGGCGCAGGGTAGGACAGTCCCTCAATCCCTTAGTCCCTTGCTCACATGGAGTAGGTCAAGCGCGGTTATCGCTATCGGAGCTGCCACTCTGGCCGACATATACGAACCACATCAACGAGGAACAATGATGGGTGTCTACTATTCTGCACCTCTCCTCGGTCCTTCATTGGGGCCAATTATCGGTGGTGCACTCGCACAGGGCCTCGGTTGGCGGGCGATTTTCTGGTTCCTAGTCATCTGGGGAGGTGTAATATTTTCGGCATTCCTTTTCTTGTTTAAGGACACATTCCGGAAGGAAAGAAGTACGACATACCAGAATGTATTGAAGAGGAGGATCCGAGAGCAACAGTCGTCAGAAGCAAAGGACGAGCCACGAAAGATTTCGGAGAAGGAATCACAAGTGAACGATGAAGAGCAGACGAATCCGAAGGACATTGAAGCGCAGATGAATTCGAAGGACCTTGGGGCGCAGACGAGTTCAAAGGACATCGAAGGACAGCCGACAGTCATACCAGCATCAGCCATTAGAGAAGTAAAGTTGTCCATGGCTGATGTCAACCCTTTCCCTCCATACCTATTGATTATCAGCCGCAAGAACAACTTTGCCATCTTAATACCATCAGGTGTGCTCTCAGTAATTCTTGCTGAAGTTGTTCAAAGAAAGTTTATGCCCTCTTTTAGGTTTGCTTTTTGCATTTAGCTTTAGCATTACGTATACATGCGCAAGGACATTGTCGATGCATTATAATTACGATGCTTTGAAGACTGGCCTCGTCTTGCTTGCCTATGGTGTTGGTAAGCGAATTACAAGCAACCTACGAGCGCCTACCTGACGCATTTATTCCAGGTAGTGTAACCGGCAGCATATTAGGTGGACGTTGGTCCGATAGGACACTTGCTCGGCTAAAGGCAGCGAACGGAGGGAGCAGCTTTCCAGAGGTGACTCACTATCTTCAGCTCAGCATCTGTCTCCACGTTTGACGCGAATTCATGCAGATGCGCCTCGAGAGTACGAAAGTCGCCATGGTGTGGTTACCTCTTTCTGTGATTGGATATGCTTGGGTGTGCCAAGAACGGGTCAATGTCGCTGCGATATGTGTGATGCTTTTCCTCGCAGGATTTTTATCCATGTATGTTTCTTTCGTTTCACACTGTCTTTCGCTCTCATCCGGGATAGATGGATCTACACAAGCACCCTGGCATACATCGTCGATGCAAACACTGGTCGCTCATCAACGGCAGTAGCGACCAACAGTTCTTTCCGCGGTCTGTCTGCTTTTGTTGCTGCTGAGGTTGCTGTTCCTCTACAGGTGAGTCGACGTCATGATAGCTTGCGGAACATCGGATCTGAGTTTGGTTTAGGATAGTATTGGCGACGGTGGTTTGTATACGCTCTGGGCGGGGCTGCTGGTCATTGCTAATTGTTTTATCTTACTGGTGTTGTACAAAGGCAGGAAGTGGAGAGAAGCCAGTGCTGAGCGGGAGAGGCAGAAGCTGGATGGCAAGTAGACGATCATCATGACTTCCGAGGTTCCGATGTACCATAGATGACGATAGACGATACTATATTAACAGAATTAACTGCTTCACTGGTATAGAATCAAGGCTTATTCGCCGTCAATTTATATATGCAACAATTTCTTTCCAGAAGTGTGATCACTGACTGGGGTGTCGCGGAGTTGACTATCATCAAATTCATTAATACAGTAACTGCCAGCAACGGATCCGAGTCCGTGTTCAAGTTATTAGCGTTCAAGTTGACGAGTCAGTTTTATGGCTTAGATTGCCCACACAGTATTGAAATTGAACGTGCTCATCCTCGGGTTGGGCTTGGTCCAATAATGTCAAACTTCCTGGAAGCCACTACTAGGCCTGGCTACTCCCAAAGCTCGCGAACTCAATTATTGATAAAGGTGAATCATAATCGATTGACGTCTTAACTTCTAAGATTAACCTGGTCGTCAATTGCATATTGAATATACCCATAAGGTGGGCCCCAGCTGGAAGCACCAGCCCGGCCTACTTCTGCGTTGGTTGGTATATA